TTCGTGACAGAACAGGAGCAAGATGTACCATCTTGCTCAGCCGACACACGAGCACCAAAATTCCGGTGTTGCCGTGTCCGTCGGCGGGAAGCCCAAAGATGAAGTCAAGACTCATCGACTTCCAACAGTCCGCCGGTACGGGCAGGCTCTGTAGTGGAGCCGAAGAGAGCCCTGCGGGTTTGACCCGCTGACATGTTTCACATGTCTTAACGTACCGGGCGACCCACTTGTACATGTGGGTCCACCAGAAGGACTGAGAGACCGACAGAAAGGCCTTCTCGCGGCCCAAGTGGCCGCTGGAGGGCGCGTCGTGCACCTCCGCGAGGATATCGAACTTCAGATCCTCGTCGTTTGGTACGACCACCCGTGGAGGATCATTGGGCTCCACCCGGTAATAGAGGAGTCCATCCTTCAACTTATATCGGTGGAGCCGTGAGCGCTGTCGCGACGAGAGCCAGTCGGACTTCGCGCTCGTTCCTGCCATAAGGAACATGACGATAGGCGCGACAGCCTCATCGTCCCGATACGCCATGCGTATCCGATCATATAGATCCGTTGTCACCCGCGTGATGTGGGCCAACCCATAGTCAGGACGCCAATAGAGGGCGTCCGCAAGCACGTTGAGCTTGCCCGGCTTGTATTCGACGCGGAAGTTGTATTCCGCGAAGAAGGACAGCCACCTCGCCATCCTTTGGGAGAGATGAGGCGAGTTAGTCGCCGTCCTCAAGGACGCGTGGTCTGTGTAGATCACAAAGGGACTAGAGCCCAGAAGGTGAACACGAAACTTCACAAGGGTATATTTCATTGCCAGGAGCTCCTTGTCGTGGACAGGGTAGTTCCGCTCGGCGGCTTTGAGCTGCCTGGACTGGAACGAGATGACTCGTTCGTGTCCAGCCGTGTCGGCCTGAAGCAATGCACATCCGATGGCGCAATCGGAGGCATCGCAGACGACGCTAAACGGCTTCGTCTCGTCCGGCAGGGCCAGGACAGGGGCCTCTTGGAGACTGGCCTTGATGCTGTCAAAAGCATCCTGGTGCTCTTGCTCCCAGCGCCAGTCGACGTCCTTCTGAAGGAGGCTCGACAAGGGCTTAGCGAAGCCCGTGTACCCTGCGCTGTACTTGTGAAGGTA